GACGAGGAAGCCGCATGCGTGGCCGCTTTCGCCTGGGACTGATGGAAATCATCGTTACCACGACGTTAACGGGTTGTGTTGGGAAGAAGACAGCAGAGAAGGTGCCGCCGAACCACCACCCTTTTCTCCTTCTCGAGTTAATACTCGTTTCAAGCTGTGCAAGGGCCTTTCTCGAGAGCCAAATCCGTTTCAAAGCAATACCTGCAATTCGCCTAATAATGGTTAAACGGAGGAGAACACAGTATTTTCCTGTAAGGATGCATTCTAAGCACAGTCCTGGGAGGTGCCAGGATGACGGCGCGGCGCGCCCCGGCCATTCGGGCACGTGCTACGGATGAACCTGCGTACGGATCCTCCCCGGAGGCAGGGGCACATCCTCGGGGTTCCTCAACCAGGACCACAACGCCATCAGGTTACAACTGCAAATCTATGTACAATGTTCAGAATCGTAACTATTGGCTATATAATGTATTATAGCAAAGAGTTAAAAACTCATATTCTGAGCTCAATCCTATATTTCATTAAAAATGTGTTTACACAACTGGGCCCCTACGTTTTGTGCTCATTCCAAAAGCCAGATGTAATAAAATTGCATGGTGGAAGAAAGGACGTTTGAAGAACAGGGGAGAAACATATCCCTAGATCGCGTATTAAACACACATTTCTTCCCTGCAGCAGTCAGCGTTAGATTTTATATACAAGAGGGTTTCAAATGACACTGCCTACATTAACGTTTGGTTTACTCACTAACGTAGACTCAGTCCTACGTGGAAAGGGCTGGGGGTTTGCCATGTAGATCTTCCCGGGAACAGAGTCTTAAGCCACAGATTTTAAATATTACTGAAAAAACACTCCGGGTGAGATCCTGGCCCCAGCGAAGGAAGGGAGGAGAGTTTTGTCGTTGACAGCGGCGGGGCAGGGATCACTCCTATTGTTTTCAAGTTTATCAAATGGTTAAAATAGATTTGTATTTAAAATAACTCTGCGAACAACAATAGCAGGCGTGCTATGCTATTGAAAAGATGATTACAGAATGACATATTTATAGAACTGTTCATAGAGTTTAGCGACCAAGCGAACACGTATCTCCTGCTTCTGTGGATAACCCACGAATTTCAATATGCCAACCGTAATCGATGAAAACAGAACCTAAAAATCAGCAACATTAATTGGCTGCTAGGACAACTACGCAAAGAAAAGCCTATAATGAAGTGTCCAGTTAAACTGAGGTAGTAGAGCCTTTGAAAACATAATCCACCTACCACTGTATATTTACATTACGTACACCAGGTTGGGTCCATCGGCTATTCGTACAACTATTGTATATACAATGACAAAACAGAGATGGCTGAGTCAAGGAGAAACGCTGAGAATAAAATAAACAACAGCTCCTGCTGGTAATTACACAAGTGAGTAGAAAAGGGATTAGAGCCATCTGCACCAAGGGTGTATTTGTCAAAAAAATAATTTTGATATTACTATACTATGGTGTAATCAATACTCAATTTTTTGTAGAATCGTTTTAAAAAATATATCAATTAGTTACCTGAGCAATTAAGGGTAATAGTCTATTCGTTTCTTCCCCCGATGCTTTGGTACAATTATTTCTAGTTCATTATTTCAATAGCTGACTGACTGCTGTAAAAAGAATAGGATGTTGCAAGAACATTACAGACCGTAAAAAAGTTAGAGGTAATAGTCATGTCATTCTGGGGACCCCATGGGGAAATTTCAGCCAACGTTCTCTTTAGCTTTTTTTTTTTTTTAAAACAGTTTGATTACGTTGTGGAAGAAAAGCATCACTTAATATAAAGCAACATTTAAACATTATAAACATTTAATACTGGTTACAACATCCGGCCAAGAAAGAGAATCTCCATCGCTCATTCGTCTGTTGGCCTCTTCCTCCCTCCTCCCCGTCCCCCCCGCTATGCCCTCTCCCCAGGAGAAAGATCATAAATAAATTTTGGAGCTGAGTGTCATTACTAAGCTTTTTACAAAACAAACCAGCTCCCGCAACCCCTGTTCTTCCTCTGGGAAGTATCCAGAATTTGACGATGACATGAAAAAATAAGAAGTTGTTTACAAATCATTGCAGCTTGAGAATTGCCGATCTTAACGAGATCCTAATCAGTAGAAGCCAGTCTGAAGACAGCTGCTGCGTTCTCTTGTTAAGTTTATAATTGGCGATAGCATCATGTATTTCTCAAAGCAGCTCTTCCTCACATTCCCCAGTATAAATTACAGTTAGCCACTGTGGCAGAAACTGATAAAAAAAAAAAAATGCAGATCTTCAGCTTTTGCTAAAATCTTTGCTTTTCCGTGGTTGAAATCTCGGGCTTACTCATTTTGCTTTTTTCCTTTCTTTATCCTTTTTTGTAAATGACCGAGTGGGAGAGGAAAAGTCTCCAACTGTTTGCATAACGTGCAGTCATATATGGAGGTGCTGCAGCTCAACGAGCAGTTTGTTTGAGTTGCTTCAGAGAGAAAGGAGCCAGAACCAGTTGTCTTCCACTTTGTTTCCAGAGGGGAAAAAAAGTCAACGTCTGTGGCCTCTGGCATTTTAAAGAAGTATCTGGGCAACGTATGGAGAGTGAGTGCTTGCTACAGCTGCCAGTAAAGGGAGGTCGCTGGATTCAATCCTAGAAGGAAGCAGAAGAGTCACATTTAATCTAACGTGAAACGTAGCTGGGCTGAACACGTGCGTTAGTAACCACATTGCCTGCTCAAGCCCAGCTCCGAGTGGCAGGACGTTCTGCAAGGAAAATTGAAGCCGATTGCGCTTCTCCCCTGACGCGGCACTGCCGGCTGGGTTACGCACCCCTCCAGCCACCAGATCGTTTCTAACCTCCCCTCCAGATGTGCCACAGCTCTGCACTCTCAACGCTGCCTTAGCTCCTACCCGCCTGGTTTGTTGGTTTTTTTTTTCTTTTTCCACAGAGCCAACAAACTGGCGAGAAAGCAAATGGAGGGACCAGCAGATTCCTTCCTACCCTCAAAGTAAAGGGAGCAAGAGTTGGGGGGCACAGCGCAGGAGGAGAGGACTGGGCTAAACTACTTCTGCAGCTACACCAAGGAAGCCCTGGCACCTCACCCCGCTGCAGCTGCTCCTCCAGCTCCACACATGCTCCGTGTGCCTTCCTGTACTCCTCTGCATAAAAAGATATTCAGAGCCTTCCTATAAACACCCCTTAAATAGCTTCTCTGCCTGTGCCCCACACCCACAGAGAGGCATTATGTGCCTTACATGACACAGATTAGGGAAAGTCAACCTGGAGGAATCAGGTGCCCCACGTTGTTCAGTGGTGACTGACCAACTAAGGAAGGAGTCTGATAAGCTCTGGAGTGCTGAGCCCATCTTCCTGCCCGGAGGGAAGAGAGAAAGGCCGGGGGATCCTCGGGATCAAGCAGTGACTAAGGAGAAGCCTGCGGCCATGGGTGATTTATGCCACACTACGGTTCCAGTCCCATTTAGGAATCCATTTCGCTGTGCTTAGAACAAGCCCAGGCGGAGGATTTGGCACCAGGAAACCCAGGGCAGCACTGCTCGGAGGAAGTTTGTGATCGTACCCCAGCACCATGCCCAGCTCCTTGACGTGAACTCTCATCTGGCCCTTGAGATACTCGGACAGCATCTTGCTTTTGAAATAGAGCTCCTGCAGCCGATCTTCCAGGTGCATAACACACTAGAAAGCAAAGGGAGTTGTGTCAGGGAGAAGACAGCGCTACGTCCAAACCACACCCAGCCTCAGAGCAAAACAGCACAGACCCCGTACATCTACTGCCTTTTCCGTGGCCGTGCCTAGGTGAATAATTAGTAAGATATTCACTGGCAAGACTCTTACTTTCGAGCAGAAGCTTTTGATTGCATGTTAAATCAGAATTAATGAGACAGTTGTCTTGATTACAGAGTCGCATTTAAACAGACAGCTCGAACAGCTACGTCAGGGTGCAATGGCTACTAAAATTGCAGCTATGGATAAATACACTAGGCAGAACCTTACAACCTCTTTCGCCTATGAAGTGAAAGGATGCTTTAAAAACATCGCCCTCTCGATTGTCATTCATACTTACGAAGTTTGGAGATAAATTATGCTTGTAAAGCTGAAGAGTGGAATGAAGCAGGTTGGAGACGAGACTCGAGACTAACACTTCTTTTCCCAGCTTATTATCAATCATTCGCCTCTGGCTACTGGCCACTTGCACCGTCCATTTGTCCGTGTCTGCAATAATGCAGACGGCTTCTGCAATCGGTTCATCCAGAACAGGATGCTAGAAACAAAAAAGGAATAGCAGAACCCTGAGGATGACAAACGACAACGGTCTTTTCACAAAACGTCACCATCCTGGATAGCAGGGATGGCATCCCAGACACTGCTTCATCTAAAATACAGTAACATGTGCCAACATTGCATCCCATCCATTAAAAACAGAGCTTTATTGTAAGCAAGGCACAGTCTTAGAAGGATAGTAGCTATTTTACATTTTCTTCCAGGCGTGTAAGCGTGTCACTGGCCGACAATTAAATCTTTTGATATTTGACATAAAGGGTTCTGACATATCCAAAGTATATTTTAAACCCCTAAAACTGAAAGTACTGAAAGTACCACCTTGCTGTTCAACACGGCGGTGTTAATGAGGTTTTATTCCCAGTTGTCACCGGTTTCCTTTATGGGAGGGCCAGCAGAGGGAGTCAGGAACCAAGCCTGCGCCCAGCTCCTCCATTCCTTCCAAGTAGCATTTCACCTCTCTAAAGCCATGGAGCTTTTAAAAAGGGAGTATTTGGAACCCCACTGTCCTTCCCCAAATATATTTTTGGGGCTGGAGTGTTAGGAAGCACCTCTTTCCAAAGATTCCCACAGGGACTTCACACAGGGCGAGGATGCAGTTATTATTTTACTTGAAGATAAGCATATAAAACCTTGCTCGGTCCTCTCGTATCCTCTCAATCTTTGACTTTCACAACTGAAGTTTAAGTCTGCTGATGGATGTGCGCCGCTATTAGGTTGTATTTCAGATAAACCCATTTCATTTAGCAACAGCTACCTCAGGCTGCTGCCTCTATTCCCTGAAGTTCAGTTACACTTCACAAATGGCTTAAACATTGGGCCTAAAACACAATGGCTTAAAACAGCGCCTAGAAAGGGGAGCAGAACTCCCCCCCGCAGGGTTGGGCACAGGGAAAGGGGACAGTAACACAGGGCACGGCTGCAGGAGGGGTAGCCGTGCCATCTGCGTAAGGTGTGATGCACGTCGTTAACTCGAGAGGTGGGGAAGAAGGGGACATTTCGGAGGCTCCCAGGGAGCGCTCGGAGAAGCAGGCTGCCTGCTCACCAGTCTGCGCGCGGGTCTTACCCCACTCCCTTGGGAATAAACTAGAGGGGAGCAGAATCACGCTCGTCAGTGACAGCCTGCTTTCCACTCCTCTCCTGGTGACTGTAAACGGGTAGGAAATACCACGCTTCCCAGTCATGCCCCAGTTCATCTAGGCAAAAGCTTCTGTGGAGAAGCGATGATTTCCAGCACACATGAGAAGTGTCCCTTAGGACAATTATCTTTACATTGCTTTCTCCTTTTCCAACCAAGCCTGCACTATTGGACGCTTTGACCACAATCCTAAAGAAGGAGTAACGTCCCCAAAATACTGAGCATTCTTGATGGCTTCACCGCAGAGAACACACAGTTCCGACCCCACAAGCAGCAGCACGTTGGTTAGAGTGCACGGAAAGAGGAGGGAGCAAAGGGAGCTTCCGCACAACCGCCGCGGCAAGACTCCGTGCCCGGGAAGAGATGCGCAGGGACCTCAGCGTTTGGTCTCATCTAACATCATTGCATCCTGCGGGCGTGCGACCATCAGCAGGCTGCCCGGCCTACAGGAGACGATGATTTCTCTACGGCTTAGCACAGAGATCCGTCTTCCCAAGGGCACGAGCCTCTCAGCTGGCTTCAGTGGGAGTCTGAGTTTTTGTGCTCCAGATTTGCAGTGAAATAGCCACGTTTTTCAGATACGTGAATTGAGAGAGGAGAAAAAATTGGTGACCTGGGACCGGAGAAATCTGAAGAGAGCTGCAACAGTAAATATTTCCACTTCCAGCAGGTTTGTACATTCAAAACATTTGCCTCCCTACTGTGACAAATACATTTACCAAATATAGCTTAATTACCTGCACAGCATGAGACAAATCTGACACCAAACAGTGCCTCAGCTTTTCATCACTTCCTATTCCTTGCAAAACAAAGTCAGGGACATAAGACGAACAGTAGCCACCTAGTAAGGATCTTCCAAAATTGGCAATACTGGGCTGGACAGAGTTCACTTCAACTAATTTTGACCTGCAAGAAAGGCATATCAAAGAGATGTACAATAGGAAGCAACAAATTCAGCTTACAGAGAGGTTGCATTTTCACATTTATCATATCTCTTCTAACTTCCGTTCCAGCACTTTTTAAAAAGAAAGAGTTTAAAGAGAGCTTTTGCAGTCAGCCCATTGTGGAAGAAAAAGATACGAGCCAAGATCGCAATGCACAATTAATATTTTTTTTCCAGACCGCTGACCTCTCTGTATTCTTTTACAACCAGCAAGCTCAAGAGACACTTTTCTAACCACTGATGCCAAGTTAGGCTACATTCCTCCAAACATGTGACATGAGAAGAGGCTCTATCTTTTTTAGGCTCCATTACTGCTGAATAGTACTTACCCAGGAAAGGGAATCTCATATTCTTCTGCCCAATCTTCCTGCTCTCCTCCATAATAGTTACCGCTTGGTCTAGTTAGATCATGACCTGTATCCTCACTTTCACTGTCACCCAGGGCACTATCTGAACTCTCATTTCTTGGAATGTCCCAATCAATTCCCGGGGCGACTTTTTTCTCTACGTTTTCTCTGTCCCCATGGGGGACGCGAATAGAGATTTTCTCTCTTTGGTCCTGCTCATTAAAGCAGTTTTTGTAGGTCTCTTGTCGAACAGAGTCCATAAATTTACAAAACTCACTAGGTGGTTTGCTAGTCTTTGTACACAGCTTTTTAGAAAACCCTAAACTACTGTTGTGAGCAAGAAGGTCTGTAGCTGCTTGCCCTGGAATATCATCAATAGTCCGGGTTTCAATTGAACTGTCATCAGTAAAATATTCATCAAACAGACTCATGCTCTCAGCGTTGTATGGATTTGGATTCCAGCTCTGATGCTCACTAGCAACTTGAGGAAAGGGTTCAGCTGTCCCACAGTCTCTATTTTGGTCCTCGACAGTTTGTTTAGCTTCACAGTTCTGATCAGCAGACACTCCTTCCTCCGTTGCTGGCGGGCTGTGATGCCTAGCGATTTGTTCCACTACTGCCTGACTTCTGAGTTCGATGTCTGAATCGGGTGACATGGAATCTCCGATGAGGAAAGTCACCTTTGTCTGAGCTTCAGCAGCACTGCAAGGAAACGCATCGCAGAAGAGCTTATCCGGCGGCTTCTTTTCCACAGCAATACCAGGTGACCTTGTTACGCTGACCGCCTGGTTGCCCGATTCCAGAGAGTCTTCGTTCCTCCACATGTTTGCTGTTGGCTCCAGATCAGATTCCGTCACCACACGTTTTTCTGGTGAAGCTGACCCTGTGCACACCACGGTCTCTAGTTTTGTGTCTAGGCAGGGTCTCGGTGGCTTAACATCAACAGCATCTTCCTGGCAATCGTCAGGAACAATAGTTCTGTTCTCATCTGAAGAAGTTTCCAGCTCTACCTTAGGAGTGTTTTGCGCGTCTTCTCTCTCTTGCTGTGAAACACCTTCTATGTTTTGTGCAAGGGAAATGGGACATTTGCAATATTTACAGCTACAGTTAGGAGTTCTCATTTCTTCAGACTCCATCGGCAGCAAGTTGCCCCTGTTCTTGTGCATTGTGACAAGCACATACTCAGATTCTTCTACTTCTCCTTTCTCCAGTGTGGTAGTTATAACAGTTCCAGGCATGACAATGGCTTCATCTTCCCCATTTTCTAGAAGATGCGTCTCTTGAAGTTCAGAGCATCTGATGAAGTAAGTAAGGAAATAAAGCAATCTCTGTACCAGGTCATGCCTTTTGCCAACCACCACTGTTTTTGCTAATCTCACAGGTGATCCAATAGCCCCATACAGGTCACCTAGAATAGGAAATAAAACAGACAATTATTTTGCATCTTTAAAACAAATTACTCCTCTAACAGACAATTGCTGTGGCTGGTTTTCAAAGGCCAGGTCTACAACAGAAAAATACTAAAGCAGAAGAGCGAGGACAGCTATGCTGGCATTTTGCTTTCAATACAGAGAATCCCAAAGATGCTGTTGGTATCGTATGTAAGGTGACACGCTGGTCAGGGAGACATCTGATCTCACATATTAGGGAGTATTCGCACCACCTAACTTCAGTGCCTAGCTTTGGAGGCCCATCTCCTGGGTTCCTTATATAGCCATGGGAGAGAGGAGGCATCTGCTCTGAATTACCCTGGATAGTCTGGAAACTGGGCTGAACTTTTACCCACCAAGAGAAAGCTGTAAGGAGAAACAAACCTATGCCAAGAATGAGGGCAAAAAGTGACAGTGGTGGGTGCATAGCTGAAGCCAACCTTCTTCTCTTCCTTCCCCTTGAGCTCTACTATGTGTTGGATGGGTTGTTTTGACTGTACTCCAGCTTCACCTGGGGAAGTGCCTGTGCATGTGTTGTTCTGGAGGTATTAGAGCACTGCATGAATGCAGGGACTCAGGGGACAAGGGATCCAAGAGGCCTCAAAGGCCAACCGAACCACAGTGGATCCCCCGAGGCCCATGAGCTCAGAAATCAAGCCTTCTTGCCAAGTCCCTAGCCATTCCCACCTATACCAGAATAGGGCAACCTTGCAAAACTCTCCTTTCCTTTCCCTCCCCTAACCAAATTCCATGAGAGTGTGTGTGCAGAGCAGGACAATCTGACCAGAGAGTAGGAAGTTCATCTCCTCTTCTCAACAGAGCAATTAGAAGACAGCATGACTAGCTACCCAATCAACTATGCTTTGAGACCTTACCCAGGGGGTGCCTAGCCATGATTTCCTGTACTGTGTCGCTTCTTTGCCTGTTGTACTGAGAGTATGTTCATTTCTTATCAAAAGATGGATTTCCTTGGCTTGGTCTTTCCAGAACCAGGCTTATTGATAGCAGCATCCCAAAAAATAAAAATTGGATTTTCCTTCTACAGGGAGGACCAGAGGAATCATAGAATGGTTTGGGTTGGAAGGGACCTTAAAGATCATCTTGTTCCAACCCCCCCGCCATGGGCACAGCCCCCTTCCACTAGACCAGGCTGCTCAAAGCCCCCTCCAACAATTCCAGGGATGGGGCATCCACAGCTTCTCTGGGCAACCTGTGCCAGTGCCTCACCACCCTCACAGTGAAGAATTTCTTCCTTATATCTCATCGCAATCTACCCTCTTTCAGTTTAAAGCCATTACCCCTTGTCCTATCACTACCTGCCCTTGCAAAAAGTCCCTCTCCAGCTGTCTTGTAGGCCCCCTTCGGGTACTGGAAGGCTGCAAGAAGGTCTCCCCGCAGCCTTCTCTTCTCCAGGCTGAACAACCCCAACTCTCTCAGCCTGGCCTCGTAGCAGAGGTGCTCCAGCCCTCGGATCATCTTCGTGGCCTCCTCTGGACTCATTCCAACAGGTCCACGTCCTTCTCATGCTGGGGGCCCCAGAGCTGGATGCAGGACTCCAGGTGGGGTCTCATGAGAGTGGAGTAGAGGGGGAGAGTCACCTCCCTCGGCCTACTGGTCACGCTGCTTTTGATGCGGCCCAGGATGTGTTTTGCTTTCTGGGCTGCAAGCACACATTGCCAGGTCATGTTGAGCTTCTCATCAACCAACACCCCCAACTCCTTCTCCTCAGGGCTGCTCTCAATCCATTCTCTGCCCAGCCTGTATTTGTGCTTGGGATTGCCCCGACCCATGTGCAGGACCTTGCATGTGGCCTTGTTGAACTTCATGAGGTTCACACGGGCCGCCCTCTCAAGCCTGTCAGGGTCCCCCTGGATGGCATTCCTTTCCTCCAAGTGTGTTGACTGCACCACATGGCTTGGTGTCATTGGCAAACCTGCTGAGGGTGGGCTCAATCCCCCGTCTATGTTGCTGACAAAGATGTTAAACAGCACCAGTCCCAATACCAACCCCTGAGGAACGCCACTCGTCACTGGTCTCCACTTGGACATTGAGCCATTGACCGCAACTCTGAGTGCAACCATCTAGCCAATTTCTTATCCACCGAGTGGTCAATCCATCAAATCCGTGTGTCTCCAATTTAGAGACAAGGATGTCGTGCGGGAAAGTGTCAAATGCTTTGCACAAGTCCAGGCAGATGATGTCAGTTGCTCTTCCCTTATCCTCCACATCACCAGGGCAAGTGACCTTAAAAGACCTGCCATAGATGACTAAAGAGGGCTTTACTTTTTGGCTGCCATTTTATAATTGATAATGCCTTAAGAAATTACAGCACATATAAAAAAATACAGTGACCACCTCTAAGCTTGAAATACCCACTTTTGTCTCATTTTGAATAAAAAAAAAAATTCAGCTTGAAGGGGAAGTAACAAGCATCCATAAAAACCACCACACGCACACCCATTGATGTAGAGCTGTTGGATGGTTTAGAGATGTTTGCCACATACCAAGCTGTGCCCACAGTGGGTTGTATGGATGAGTTTTGGCCAGCATGTCCACGCTCTGCGAAGAATGCTTTTCCAGGAAGATTCTTATAGGCGGCTGGCCATTCGGCATGACGGTGGGGACCCAGGCCAAGTGGTTAGTCAGGACTGCAGTCAGTAAAGCTGGTAAGAACCTGAAAGCAAAATGGTCAACATCTTTTTTTTCCAGGTGTACACTCAGGATGTTAAACTGACAGCAGTTCTACAGTCTATATGGATCAAGGATTGCAGAAACAACCTAACAAAGTCGGCAGAGATCATCCCTTCGGTCCTGGTTCTTTGGGGAGAGAAGGGAGGGCTGTACCCTCCCTCCCACCCCTGCAAAGCTCGTTTTTAGAACACGCATTTGAAGTAAAATGAAATATTTTAAACTTGTGGCATCTCGGTTCCTCTGTTTGGCAATAATTGTGAGACTTCCTATTTTGCAACCTTTATGTTGTAAAACATCTCAAAACCAACTTACTGCGTTCGCTGTAAGAAAACAGATGGAGTGTGTGGCCTCTGTACTCCCAGAAGGGGATCCCAAGCCCTTAAGATCTCTGACTATCGATGAGAAGGAAGGCTACTGCTACCAAACCTGTAAGATAAACTCGTTGCTGTAGCCTTTCATCTAACTGTTATGCAACTTCAGCACATATGGCTGCTCCTTTTCAAAAATAAAACCCCCCAAAATTCTGTAGCTCAGCCAGAAAGGCCGTGTCCTTACACTGGTAAAACATTTTTCACTAGCTAAGCAAGTAAGGCAAAAAGCCTTTCTGAAAAATGCTAACTATCTGATTTATTGTAACGATAAAGCGTGGTTTCTGCTCCACGGAGGGAAGACTTTCTTTCCCAGTCCCCTTTCCTGGCAGGAGGAGCGTGCAGAAGCGCAGCCCAAGAGCCTCCCGCATGCCGACAGATGGTGCTGGCGGCCGCTGCAGCGGCTCGGGCGCCCAGGGAGGAAAACAGTCAAATGCCACTGAGCCTCAAAATAATGCTATTTGAATAGTTTACAAGCATCAGGAACCCTAAATTTAGCCCCATTTCCTCACTGGAGACAGCCAAAGGAGGAAAAGAGATTTAAAACTGGATTGAAAAGGATATGGGGCTTGATTTTCCCTCTTGCTTCCATCGGTGTAAATCTTACTATATTTAAAATAAAGCAAGCAAACAAACCCAAATGAATGACCATTTAAATGTAACCGAGATGTATAGGGCTCAGAATGGCAGGGACCAAAGGGACTAACGCCAGGAAACGCCAGGAAAAAGCTTCTTTCAGGAAAAGCAGCGGGAACCGATTTTAAGAAAATACATTTGAACCCCTCACAACTCCCTACGGTCTCTCCCATTGCACTGAGGCAGGAGAAGGTGGACCACGCTGACCACTAATTATCACCCTCCCATCTGGGGGAGAGCAAAGATGACGAAGGTGGTGGTAAAGCTGGAAGATGGTGAGCAGCAGCCCCTTCCCCACCCTGCAGAGAGCAGTTTCCCCGGAGCTAACAGCTGGTCTTTCAGTGCCATTCCCACTCAAACTTCACATGTTTGTGCTCGTTTTAGGACTTAAATGGAGCCAAACACTTTAAAAACTTCCCCTATTCATGCCCCGGGGAAAGAGGATGAAGTGTTGACAAAAGAGTAAATTTATCAGATTCTCCCAAGTTTATCAAGAACATTCTCTTTCTCAATTTTTAACAACCGCTCACGGCTTTGTCCTGAGGGCAGAAAGGTGAGCACTAATGAAGCACACAATTTCTTTAGTGGCATTTTACAGAAGTCAGGTTTAAAAGCAATTTGCGGTCAGACAGTATTACAGACACGGCTCTTACTGAATGTCTAACCTTGCTCATCATATGATAACTGATTTTGAAAGGTAGATTAATGCATTTCATAAGGTATGTTCACCCCCTTCCAGACATACACACCCATCACGCGCTTCCTATGGACATGTTTCAAATGTTTAGCCTCTACCAAGATTGAGAGAATTGTGGGGAAGCAGGCATTTAATGAGAAACTTTCTTATTTCTTTTTTGTTTTAGAGAGAAGATATTTCTGAATGGTCTTTTGATTCTTTGATTACCCACATTTTAAAAACAGATTAAAAAATTGGTTTGAAATACAAAGGCATAAACACATATGTAATTTAAAAACTTAAATCCACCATACTGGTTTTTAGAAGCATTTTCCATCAAGAAAGTGAATTCCTTCATGAAGCGATGGCAAAGCTGGTTCTTCTCTGGTGTCCCCGACATCATAGTAAGCCAGACAGGCTCCCCAATCCGTGGCATCGTGTAGAGATTGCAAATAGTCGTTCTAGAAAACAAAAAATCCGGAAGACTGAACAAAACAACAAAAGGCTGAGATCTCTACTCAAAGAGTTTACTGCAATGTTCAGTTCCAGCTGTCATTTCTATCAGAAACAAAATGTCTCTCATCAACCACTACCCAAACCACGTTGTTCATTAAATAGTATGAATTCACCCTTCCACCTCGGAGAGTTAAGGTTCTTCGTGCATGTACCTGAACTGATCCCAAGCACAGTTAACACTCACTGTCAAAAGTCAAGAGCTGCCCTGTTCCGCATAGAGAAGAAATGAATTATTTTTTCTTGTTGTTATCTCCCTGCTTTCTCTCCATTTCATCCAAAACATGTATATCCCCCATAGTTCTGCTAGATTTATGACTAGGGCAAGTTTATGTGTATCTGACTTATAAAAATACCTTAACCGTCCTCCTTGCTTTAAAAAAATCAATGTATCTCCAGGCCAACCCCACCAGAGTGTGGATTTGTAGAGAAGGGGACCAGGTTACTACTTTACCTTTAAATAAAGCGTATGAGTCTCAAAGTTACCCCACGGTTGCAAGGACTACGCACCTACCCACATCCTTTTTGACTCTACAGAGGACAGTAAATGTATGATTAAAACTTTGGCTCTGCAGTAAAACACCAGATTCAAACCCCTCAGATTACTGTTAAACTCCTCTAAAATCTAAACCAAATTATAGTTTTAAGTACAACGCCTACGTTATGACACTATGGGAACCTGTATTTTCATCACAGTAAAAATGTAAGCCTGAAAAAAACCCAAAATAACAAAGGAAATGACTGATCAATTCAGGTTTCTCCCCACCTAATGCACTGTTTTTTCTAGAAGAGATCTTTGTGTTTTACACGAGAAAGATTTACATTATCCCATTATCCCTAGTACCACCCCTGATTCGTAAAGATCTTCTCTGGCCTAAAAATTTATAGACACTTCCAGAAGTGAAGCGATGGCTGTGCACGTCAGGCAGGCAAACGCACTCGGGCAGCAGCTGCCAAATCTTCCGTGGTTTAGTGTTTAAAGTGAAACTCCCTAGGAAGTGAGAGCCTGGCACGTCAGCAGCGGAGCAGCACGCAACGCCGCCGGTACGAGGGGCACTCGGGGGAGGAAGGAGGAGTTATTCCCCGGTTGTTCAGCAGAGAAGAAAGCAGCTGTGCGGTGACAAGACCCCCAGAGCAGCTCCCCAAAGGGTGGCAAACGTGCGCCGTGCCAAAGTCACCGGGACCGCTCAAGAAGGAAGGGGGTGAGGGGGGCAGTGGCATTTTCTGCCTTATTTTTTCTACCAGTTTTCATGAAATACAAAAGCCATCCTGTGTGTTCACAATAGCCAAAATCTATCCCGCCTTCCTCAGAGGTTAGATTTTCAGACGCTCCACTGCCACAGGCACGATGGCAAAGCCAGAAAACAGTCAGCGGGCTGGAGAGGGGGAAAGTCAAGTTACCAGACCCAGCGGCACCCAGAGGGCTTGCTGTTCCCTGGGTCAGTTTAGAGCAGCCTCGGAGCTGCTCTACGTTAACCCTCTGCTGCTGGTCCTCTCCTGGGAGGCAAGCACAGACTGATGGCAGACCCGGGCACGACAGTCCTGCCAGGTGAGACGCGAGCGGGGCAGGCAGCCGGCGGACACAGGCACCGTCGGGGGAACCGGAGGGTCTCCGGCAGCGCAGCGCTCCTGGGGCACCGGGATTCCATGCCTGGGCAGTAGCAAGGTGGGACTAGAGGTGGGATTATTAAGGGAAAGCTTTCTGTTCACAGCCCATTAACTGGAGTGGATGTTAAAGAGGCCCAAAGAAAGGGTGAAACCCCAAGTCCAGGGACTTCAAAGCTCGACCTGTTTCAAAGCTCAAAACAAGTAGTGAAACTTGCACCCCCCAGACACAGCTGACCTTAGAAGCTGAAGATAAATCGCACAACTTAACTTAAAATACAGCTTATTTCTCCTTCATATGCAAACTAACCCAAGCCAAGCCTCTTGCAGCTCGGTTGTTTTGAAAAAAGAAACTACTTCTATACTAAAACCGACATATTAAAATATTTGTTTTCGTTGAAAAAGATAGACCCAGTCTTGTGATTCGTTATTTACTATTCTGGTAACCCTGGCTGCATCTGCAACTGATAGTGTTTCCTCAGAGAGAGATCAGATTGCCCTGGCCGGCGGCCAGCAGGCATGTGACTGCAGTGCAGGGAACCCTCCATGCCAGCGCAGGCAGCAATGGCACAGAAACCAAGGGCAAGGATTAACTGCTTTCCAGCTCTGCAAACACAGAGGGAAAGGCTCTCCTTCCATTTATTAAAGAACAAAAACAACAAACAAACAAACAAAAAAAAAAAACCCCACACACAACAGAAAAGAACCAAAACACTACAGGGAAAGTTAACCGGATTTAAAAAATAACAAGCATTAAAAATCAAATGGAGCCCTCTCGGCCATCTGCAGCGAGCAGCCCCCTCCCCTCCGCTCGCCGTCCCCCCCGCACACCAGCATCGCACAGCGGCACGCAAGGGAAAGTTCAGTTACTGAGAGACTTTGTTCTTTTGAGGGTTCCAGTGCATTTAAAATGGTTTATATTTGGAAATGCTTCTGGGAGACTGCACTCCAGCCTGGAGCTTACGGGCACCTCGGCACCGGCGACGGGTGCAGCAGGCGCAGGGGCTGGGGGAGCTGCACAGGAAAACACCTTCGCGTCTAACAGCGCGCCTTGAAACCAAACAAAGCACAGCCCAGGAAGGCCCGCGAAAGGAAAACGAGGACCTGAGCAGAACCCCTCCTGCAAACCCTGTGGGGTTTGCCTGCTCTGCAGGCGCAGCCGG